GAGCTGGGGAAGGGGCTGCTCCCCCCCCTCCTGCCACCAGCCCCTTTGGGGGCTGGGGGGCAGCTTCTGTGCCCTGTAGTGGAGCTCCCCCTGCAATGGGGGAAGGGCTGTTTGGGGGGGGGCACTGCTGTGAAGGGGGTCACCCCCCGCCCCAGCAGTGAAATCCGTGACTCTTTTGGGGAGCAGACAATGGGGCGGATGGGGCCCCCACAACCTGACCTCATTGAGGCTGGAGGCGCGGGGGGGTGTTCAATCAGCCATTCATCACCTGGGGGTTTGTGTTGAGTTTTTCCTTTTTTATTTAACTAATTTTAAATAAAAACTAAAAGCCACCCAGCAGCTGATGTCAGCGGGGAAGGGGACACACACACGGACACACACCCATGGTGCAAAGGCTTTAACAAACCCCCCCGCCTTTGTTAGGCTGTTCCCTGACTTCCTTCTTGTTTATTGATATTATTCTTTTTCTCCCTCAGCGCTCGACGGGGAGCTCGTAATAAAAGGGGCTACATCATCCTCACACTCGGCAGGTAGCTCCTTTAACCCCCCCGCCCCTGCAAACTGGGGGGGGGGGGGGCAACGGAGGTTTTTGGGGTGCAACAGGGCTCTGAAAGCTAGGAGAGAAGCTGGAGACGGGGGGCTTAAAGACAGCCCCCCAGGCGACCCCTGTGTTTTCCAGAGCTGCCTCCTCAGGGAGCAAATCAGCATGGGGAACTTGGAGAGCGCTGAGCGAAGGCAGCACGCCTCTTTTTGAGGTTAAACCGCGGGGGTTTGGGTATACCACAGGTCTGTTTTGGCTGCGAAATGCTGCTGGCAGCGAGGGGGGGAGACCCGGCAGTTGTATTTTTTTAGAGGGGGGGGGCCCACGGTGTTTTCTACTGGGACTCGGTGGGTGTTAACAGATAATTATAAATTCAAGTCTTTATTAAGTTTAAACTTAGTTCTGGCTTCCAAATTCCCCTCGGAAAAGATATTCCGCTGGAATTATTTTCTTTAAAGTGGGGCAGGGAATAACCAGAAACCCCCTCAAAAAACCCAGAGCTCCCCCCAAAACCAGCCAGGGTTTCTCTGCACTCACACCACACCCCCCCCACCCAAGCATGCCGAAGCGAAACTGCCACAGGATTATTCCCTTTGTCCCTGGTATAAATAGGATTTGTTTGAGCTGGGGGGGGGCGGAACTGTACAGATCCCGAAAGGTGGGATTTCTTTTTCCTCATATAGTGAAAAAATGGGTTAACTTGGCAAGATTTTGGCATGGGAAGGGGGGGCAAACCTGCACAGGTGCCACGTTGGCAGGAGCTTCAGCTTTGCCCAGTTCCGTTGGGGAAATAATAATAATAAAAAATAAAACCCCTCCCCGAGCGTTGCGAAGCCTCCTCCCGCCAAGGTCGGGGCAGCAATTAAACGCAGGGAAACGATCGGGATATTATGCAAATGAGCTTGGGGCAGCATTGAGGGGGGTGGGGGTCGGGGCACCCCAAATTTCCAGGCCGTGCTTTCAGTGCTGCAGTCCCGGTACCTGTTCCTAATTTTCACACACCCCCCACCTCACCAAAATGCTGCTGCGAAACCTTCCCGCAGGTTATCAAAGGCGTATTTTTATTTTCTTTTTAATTAAATCCCTGTCGTCAAACTTGCCTCGTCCTGACCTATTTGCAAGGCCGAGTCGGGGCTGTTTGCTAACGAGGCGCTGCTAATGAGGATACGCTGACGGGCTTTGCTTGAGACCTGCATCCTTGCCGCCATGTGAGGGGCCTTTTCAGTCTGTTTAGGAGTCAGGGAGGGGGGATCCCAGGCGACGGCCCGCCTTCACCTGCCCCCCCCTCATTAATTTCATCGCTGTAAAGCCCACTTTGCCTTAATTTTTGGCCAGTAACGAGGCTGATGTTACTTCCCACTTGCAGGCTCCAATGCTGCTTGGCTTTTTTGGGCAGAAGGATGGGCTTTTAGTTGTTTTTTGGAGGGGGGGGCCCACAAACTCGGCATGGATTTGGCTGCACTTCCCCGCCTGGCTTCTGCAGGTTGGTGCTTGCTGCTTGGGCGAGCAGCTCCGCTCAGCTCGCTTTGCCTGCTGCTTTTATCTGCTTTTGCTTTTGAGGGTTGGTTTCGGGGTTTATTTATCAGGTTTGGGCTTTTTTAGCAGCTTATATTCTCATTTAAAACCTCTCGCAGCAAAGCGATCACCATTCTTGTCTCCCTACCCCTTCCCCAGCTTCCACATTGCCCCTTCATTCCTCTTTCTTCTGGTTTTTGAGCTCCCCAGAGGTTTTTTGAGGAGCAGAAATCCCACATCCCTTGGAAATCCCAAGAACGGGGTGGCGGTTGAGGCCCTTGAGGTGTGACCCCATTTTTTAACAGCATTCCATGCTTCGGGAAGTTGCACGGGTCGATCGCACCGGCGTGAGCCCACCCCTTCCCTAGGTGAAACTTTAAACCATTTCTTTATTTTTCCTTTTAATCCAGAGTTCCTCGTCAAATTTGGACCCAAGGGACGCCAGGAGCACCGTAGGAGACCCCTCTTCCCACCCTCCACCCCGGTAAGGAGCTTTGCGCCCCTCCTCTTCATCACGGCTGTTCCAACAGTCGGACGCTGAGCCGGCCAGAAACCGTCGTCCCCTCCGGGCGAGGATTACAGCTCGTCCGACGTGTTTTTACAGTGAGACGTAGCATAAAAAAATAGATTTAACCCAGCAAAGGGGCCAAATCTGGGGGGATTTCACGGGGCGGGGCTGCATCTTAACAAGCTCTTTCGCTCCGGACAATAATTTATTGAAATATCCCAGTGTTTTGGCCAACCCTGTCCTCGGGCACTGCCATCCAGAAGTGAGATAGCCGAGATCTCCATGTTGGCACGTCCCCCGGAGCCCAGGCAAGTAGGAATTTGTCCGTATTTATGGCTGTGCTGAAAAAGCCTTTCGTTTGATTAATGTTAATTAAGTCGTCTCCATCAGATAAAGGACAGGGAGATGGATCGGCTTGCCGATGAGGTCCCGGCTCAGGTTTTATCCCCTTTTTCCCCCCTTTTTGCACTGAGAAAATTAATGGCGTTCTCATTGCCCGGTAATGGGGATGATTTGGCTTTAACCACCCCCTAATTAAGCACAAAGTTGCCAACCTCTTCACTTAATTGCTTTACTAATTTCTTCTCCGTCTTGGCCATCGGTTGGTTTTAGTCTTGGCTCGTACCTGGAGCCAGGTTTGGCTTGGGCCAAGCGTTGGGAAAGCCAGGGTGACCCCAGCCTCTCCCCAGCTAAACCCCTCTGCTCCTGAAGTATCTTTTTGGGGCTGTTTCATCCCAAAAGAGTCCCAGGATGATTTTTTTTTTTTTTTTCCTGAGGAGCGATGCAGGATGTATGCCTTGGCATCCCCTGTCGGTAGCAAACCTGTGCCGAGGAGGGGAGAAGGAGCCGGCAGCGAATTTTGGGGTGATTTTGATCTCATTTGGGGCCAACCAGGAGGCAGAAAGGACCACGCGGGTCATTAAATCTTTATTTTTAATTGGAAATAGGCAGGGTCAGACTTTCTCCTCTGGCTCACGAAGGCGTCTTGAATACGAAAGAGTTAAAAACTGTCGCTTAATTTATCAAAAGCCTGTGGTTAATAATTAAAACCTCTTTCCCTCCCCCCTCGTTAGCTGGGAAGGGCTGGGTCTTGCTTGTGCAAATTACAGCTTTGGCTCTGGAGCAGCAGGATTGGGCTCAAAAATCCCAATTTTGGGTTCCGCTGAGAGAGTGGGATTGAGCCGGGGGGGTTAAGCCTTTTCCTCAGTTTATTACCCTAAATTAGGTCTGTGGGGCACGATGCATCTCCTGAACCATCGCTTATCCCTGTGCTGGGACCCCTTGGAAGGATTCAGGGACCCGGTTCTGCCCGGTGCTGGCAAACCCGGCACGGTGCCACCGATGTCAGTGCCATCAGGTTTCCCCAACATGGCTAAAATAAAAAATTAACACCCTGCAATTAATCTTTCAGGCTTGTTCCGCTTTCCCTCAGCCTGTAGAGGCTTGGAGGGGGAAGAAGGATGTTGAGGGGGGGCTCTTCCCATATTTTATGCTAAGAAATAGGACGAGATTCCCTTGTGGATTGATTCCTGCCAGAGCAGGAGCCCAGCTTGGAGGATAACAACATCCTTAATTTGAGTTGCGGTGCTCTGGTGACGTAGAAATTGAATAATCGGATGCTGGAAATGTCGATCTGGGGAAGATCCCGGAGAGATTGGGGGTCTCCCCAAAACACAGGGCTGCCACAGGAATAAACAGGGAATAGACACCGCTAAAAACCTTGTGAGATACTAAACCGCTCTTTTTTTTGCTCTAAAAGTACCTCTGAAGCCCTAAAGGGCCGTAAGGAATGGGAGGCAATGTATTTTTTCATAGCCGGTTCAGAGGCCTCATGCAGCATCCGAGGAAGGAAAAAAAATCCCCCTAAATCTTCCCGGTTGGGGTCATACGACCGCAGGAAGAGGGGACCCATCGTCCCTGGCTGCAGGTTTATTCTTCTGCATCCCTTTTTTGGGAAGAGCATCCCAGGAATCCTGTATCCTCATGGGTACAAACCTCCTCCTAGGAGTTCCCCGGCACTTCATCTTCATCTTCCCTCTTCATCTCAGCGGCTGTTGGCAAGAGATTAAATGAGATTATTTCAAGAAGGGGATTAAAATGGGGGGGGGGGGGGGGGTATAGGAATAAGAGCCATGGAGCAGCCACCCGATTTGGGGTGTCGGGGCATGAGAATTGGCACAGAGTGGTCTTGGAACCCTCCTGGGTTAGGCTCTGCTTTGGTTTAAATCCCTAAATCTGGTTATTCCTCACCTCTCCACTGTATTTTAATCCAAATTTGGGTAATTTGGAGGCTTGCAGAAGGAAGGAGAGGGTCTCTCTCCTACCAGGCGCGATGCTCCGTAGCAGGATTCAGATGGATTTAATTAATCACCCGCCGATTCGCTGCCCGGGTGAGGGGCTTGCCGCTGGAGGAATGTCAGGCGCCGTTTTTGGGGCGGAAAGACAGATTTATTAATTGCCGATGTCTATTTTCAGCCTGAAGGGGTGACGACGGTGGGTGATGCTGCGGTTTGGGGGGAAACGCTGATGGTTTGTCAGATTAATCCAAAACCCTTGAGTTTTCCAGATAATGCAGGTATTTAGAAATCTGTTCCGAAGATGGGGTTGTTGGTTATTTTTGCCCAGCGACTCCAGATCTGGCATGGGACAGTGGGTTTTCGTCTCCAGCTCGTTTCCCAAATCAGAATGGGCTGAGGAGGAACTGGAAAAGCATCATCATCACCCTCTTCCTCCTCCTCCCACCCTGCTCCTGCTTGGCAAAGGGTAGAGTGTTTAGTTGATTTTTTTTTTTGGAGTATTTTTAGCTTATTTGGGGCCATTCCTCCCCAGATTCAATGAATAAGAGGGGGTTTTTGGGACACTGTGTCCCCACAGTAACCAGCGCCACTGTGGGAAGAGGAGTTTTCTTTGGAAAAAAGAGTTTTCTTTGGAGTTTTGGGGGGAATAGAGAGAAGCGTGTGTATTCTGCAAATATATCTTTACCCTTGGAGGAGCCGGTGAAGGGGAAGTTGATGCCGGGGCCCCAAAACTGGGCATTATACCCCAAAAAGCTTCAACTGGGAGCCCCGATCTCACCACCCAGCTTTGCCCAAGCTCCTTCCCACGGGATGTAGGGGAATTATTGCCGGTGAGACCTGGCATTGACAGCTGGGGATGCTCCTCTGAGAAGATCTGCCTTTGTACCTGCTGCCCGCTCATTAGGCTGCATTTAATTAAGACTTTCAGGTATTGATTTAACATCCCCTCCCAACAGATGCGATCTTAGCCGGCTTGCGGTGTAATTAGCGGGGATTAGGTGAGCACCGGACAGGAGAGGAGGCTTGGCCGCCGTGCCGGTGTAGGTTAATGCCCAACACAGACGGATTAAGACTTGTCTGTCCGTCTGTCCATCCCAAACCTGCCAGCAGTGAGCTGCCTCAGGGCTCTGGCTTCGCAAGATCCCAGTGGAGAAACTAAAGCAGGGTTGGCAAACTGGAGACAAGCGAGGAGAAGGCTGAGGGACTTGGGAACTCTTTCGGCAATCTCTTCCCGTACCTCTCAAGTGGATTGAGCTCAAGGAGCAAAATCCTTCCCCGTGCAAGAGAAGATCGGATTCGAGATCACCTGAGGAACCTCAACAGATACAAGTTATTGATCAACCATTTGGAGGCAGGAGTTGAAGGCAAGTTTGCTGGTGATACCCAACTGGGAGATGCTGTTGACTCTCTTAAGGGACAAGAAGCCCTTGTAGGGATCGGGATAAATCGGAGCATCGGGCAATGCCCTTAACAACATGCTCCAACTCTTGGTCAGCCCCAAATCGGTCAGGTGGTTGGACCAGATGATCGCATAGGTCCCTTCCAACTAAGTCTGTGGGACCCACTGAGGTCCATCCCTGAGTCCTGAGGGTCTTGCCAAGCTGCTCTTCCAGGAAAGTCATGGCAGTCAGGTGAAGTCCCCAGAAGACCGGAGAAAGGGGACTTTCCACTGGTTTTAAGAAGGGTGAAACTACTGACCTGTCTGCCTCCCCTCTGTGCCTGGGAAGATCATGAGAAAATCCTTCTCGAAGCTCTGCAAAGGCACGGGGAGGACAGGGAAGTGATTCAAAACAGCCAGCGTGGCTTCACCAAGGCCAAGTCTCATCTGACCGACCTTCTACAAGAGAGTGACTGGATCAGCGGACAAGGGAATGTGAATGGAGAACAGAGAAGGACTTGGGGCTACTGGTAGATGAAAAGCCCAAAAAGCCAACCGGATCCTAGGCTGCAGCAGAAGAAGCGTGGCCAACAAGTTGAGGGAGGTAATGCTCCCCCTCTTTTCCGATGAGATCCCACCTGCAGCGCTGTGTCCAGGGGTCTTCAGGACAAGAAGGATGTGGATCTGTTGGAGTGGGAGGCCACGGAGATGGTCGGAGGGCTGGGACACCTCTGCTATGAGGAAAGGCTGAGACCTGAGCTTGGTCAGCCTGGAGAAGGCGCCTGGTGGCTCTTCAATACTCATGGGGACAGACTTTCTAGTAAGGCCTGTCACGATAGGGCAATGGGGAATGGTTTTAAGCTAAAAGAGAGGAGATTTGGACTAGATGGAAGGAAGAAATTTGTTACGGTAAGAGTGGTGAGGTTGCCCAGAGAGGTGGGGGATGCTCCATCCCTGGAAGGGTTCCCTACCAAAATAATGCCATGGTGTTCACGCTTGCTATACTAACCCTCTGCTCTTCCCCCCTCTCCACTGTAGGATGGCTCAGGAGATGTGACAGCACCCAGCGTGAGCACCAATGCCAAGGAGAACCATGCAGCAGCAGTGCAGTGAAGCTGAGCGTCGCAGGGTTTCGCTCGCTGGAAGCCGGACGGCAGCGATGGAGGCCGTTCCAGCACGGCAACAGCAATGAAGGGCCCTGTCCCCCTGACTCAGCTCGGCTCCGGCACCGGACCATGAGCTCCCACCGCCCCCCGCGGCACGACGGCTCCGATGCCGAGGGTTGCCCAGCGGCATTTTGGGCGCAAAATGGCAGTGTGCCAATGGTGGGGGGTGAACCCCCTCGCCTGGCCACCACCACGCCAGCCGTGCCCAAAATGGGGGTGCGTGCCCGCATCGCTGACTGGCCCCCCAAGAGAGACGCTGTCAAGGACCCCCCTGTTGGCACCAGCCCGTGCCGGGAGGCAGCAGGCAGCCGGGATGCCGCTTGCTGCCGGGGTTTTGCCAGCGGGCAGCAGCCCCTCACCAGTGTTTCGGGCTTTAAAGCCCTTCACCGCCTGGCACGGCGGCGATCCAAGGACGTGGAATTTCAGGAGGGGTGGCCCCGTTCCCCAGCAAGGGGCTTGGCACCACTGCGGCACCGGAGCAGCAGCGAGGTGACGCTGAGCGAGTGTGACCCAGAGGAGCCGGTGGAGCCACGGGGGACCAAACTGGGGGGGGCCACTGGACTTTTCCGCGAGTATGGCAGCACATCCTCCATTGACGTGCAGGGCATCTCGGAGCAAAGCTTCTTCGATATGCTCAATGAATTTCGGACCAAGAAGCCAGATCGGCGAGCCGCAACGCCCGAGCGTCTTGGGGAAGCTGGTTTTCCTTTAGGATCATATTCCGGGATCAAGACGGAGGGTAGGAATGGGCCCCGGGACGAGCCATTGGTGCAGTCCAAGGAGAAACCCCGCAGGAGGTGTCCCAAAGGTGATGCTGGAGGCGAATCCATCTTCAGGAAGCTCCGGAGCAGCCGAAACGAGGGGGAGCCGGGGAAGGAGCCAGAGGAGCTGCGGGCACCAGAGCCAGGCAAGGCTTGGGTGTGCCAGAAGAGTTTCGCCCACTACGACGTGCAGAGCATGCTCTTCGACCTCAATGCTGTGGCTGTCAATCGTGCCGTGGTAGCCCAACGGCGAAACACCACCACAGGCGCCTCGGCCGCTTCGGCCACCACTGTTCGTGCCGGTGGGTTGGGAGGATCGGATCCAGCATTCGCCAGCACCGAGGACCTTAACTGTAAAGAGAATTTGGAGCACGATGTGGGGGATAACACCAGCAACGAGCTTCTCCTCAGCTGCCCCCATTTCCGCAACGAGATTGGCGGCAGCGGCGAGCGCAATGTCAGCTTCTCCAAAGCCTCGGCGGGGTCCCCCGGGGTCCCCACGGTCGAGGGGGGCTTCCTGGAGCCTGCCCTCGATGTACGCCCCACCAACGCTGGCGTCTCGGTGCTGGAGGTCCCCAAGGAGCTGCAGAGGAACCCCAATCGGCTCAAGCACTACAGCGTCGAGCACGTGGACCTCGGTGCTCGCTATTACCGGGATCATTTCCATGGCAAAGGTGAGGGGGGGCACTCTGGGGGTATTTTGGGGGGTCCACAGCCTCGCCTCATTGCTGCAAGAGCCTGGGGGACACTGATGCTGGCCTTTACATCCCCTGTAAGGATCAGAGGGTGCAACCTGCTCTTAAAGCCCCCCTCGAAATCCTTCCTCAGAAGCAGGGGAGGGTTGGAATGTCACTGGGGTACACCCAGCTCCATCCCCACCTCACCGTTACGGGGCTGGGCTGGTAGGAAAGGTCACAGTGATGACTCCTCTGTCCCCCCCCATCCGGCTCCTGTGTGTCTGCCCCCGCCGTGCATCTTCCATCCCTGTTTTTCTCACCAGAGCACTCTAACTACTTCGGGGTGGACGAGAAGCTGGGCCCGGTGGCTGTCAGCATCAAACGGGAGAAGCTAGAAGACCACAAGGACCACGGCCCCCAGTACCAGTACAGGATCATCTTCCGGACCAGTGAGGTATGTTGCCGTGGCACGGGGACGCGAAAACCAGTTTGGGAATAGGAAAACGTGCCCGTGGGTCTGTTCCCGCAGGGGCCATGCCCGGCCCAGTGGAAGGTCTCTCTTCCCATCAGGACTCACCTCCCTTTTTCCCCCACCCCCCTTATTTTTTCCCAGCTGGTCACCCTGCGTGGTTCCATCCTGGAGGATGCCACCCCTACTGCCACCAAGCACGGGACAGTCCGGGGACTCCCACTGAAGGATGCCCTGGAATACGTCATCCCAGAGCTCAACATCCACTGCTTGCGCCTCGCCATCAACACGCCCAAGGTCACCGAGCAGCTCCTCAAACTGGACGAGCAAGGGGTGAGTGGCAACAGGGACAGAACGGGGGTCCTGTCAGCTCCTTAGAGGGGGCAGGGGGGGAACGTGGCTGACCCCCCCGCTCTTCCCTGCAGCTCTGCCGGAGGCACAAGGTGGGCATCCTCTACTGCAAAGCCGGGCAAAGCTCGGAGGAGGAGATGTACAACAACGAGGATGCAGGACCCCCCTTCGAGGAGTTCCTCTCCCTCCTTGGGGAGAAGGTTTGCCTGAAAGCCTTCAGCAAGTACGCGGCCCAGCTGGACACCAAAAGTGAGTAACACGGGGTCCCATTCACGGTGAAAAGAGGTGGGTGGGACACACGGGGACCCCCACCTACTTGACCACCTGCCTCCCCCCCGCCCCTGCAGCCGACTCCACCGGCACCCACTCCCTCTACACCACCTACCAGGACTACGAAATCATGTTCCACGTCTCCACTATGCTCCCCTACACCCCCAACAACCGGCAGCAGGTAACTACCCCATTCCCAAACTGGTTTTTGCCCCACCACTGTGGATTTGGGGCTCTCCGTCCCCAGATCGTGCACAGGCATGGTGGTTTGGGGACTGTCTGTCCGTCTGGGGCTCAACCATCCTTTGTGTTATTGCTCTAGCTGCTGAGGAAGAGGCACATAGGGAATGACATCGTCACCATCATCTTCCAAGAACCCGGAGCTTTACCTTTCACCCCCCAAAATATCCGTTCCCACTTCCAGCACGTCTTTATCATCGTCCGAGCCCACAACCCCTGCACTGACAACGTCTGTTATAGGTGAGCCCCCGTACACCCCCTGCCACAGCCTAACTGTGTCCAAGGGGCTCTAGATTCGGGGCCTGCCTACAGCTGGGGCAAGGGGCTGTTTGCCTCACATGAGGGTGGCATGGAGGTTTCTCCCATGCTTCCGACTTCTTTAAAGCAACTGGGGCACCGGAATAGGGGTGAAGGCAGTCAAATCCCGTTGGCGGCCAGTCCCTGTGGCTCAGTATTGGGTTAATATCATTATCAGTGATCTGGAGGAGGGGATCGAGCCCACCTTGGGTTTGCCAAGTTGGGCAGAAGCATTGGATCTGCTTGAGGACGGGGCAGGAAGGCTCTAAAGAAGGATACGGACAGACTAGATCGATGGTCTGAGGAAATTCAACAAGGCTGAGCGCCGGGTCCTGTGCTTGGGTCACAAGAACCCCAGGCTGGAAAAGGTTCAGCTGAAGATGGGCCAGCACTGTGGCCAGGTAGCCAATGGCATCCTGGCGTGTATCGGGAATAGTGTGGCCAGCAGGACTAGGGGAGGGATCGTCCCCCTGTGCTTGGCACCTCAACTGCCGTGGTGGCTTCTGGGCCCCAAGAGAGATTGAGGTGCTGGAGCATAGCCAGAGAAGAGCAACAAAGCCGGTAAAGGGTCTGCAGAATGAGTCCTGTGAGGGCACTGCACTGGGGGAGGTTTAAATTAGATATTAGGAACGATTCCTTCACGGAAAGGGTTGTTGAGCACTGGAACGGGCTGCCCAGGGAAGTGGTGGAGTCGCCATCCCTGGAGGGATTTAAAAGACGTGTAGATGTGGCGCCTGGGGACATGATTTCATGGTGGACTTGGCAGCGTGTGGTTAAAGCTTCGACTCGATGATGATCTTAAAGGTCTTTCCAACCTAAGTGATTCCGCGATTCTGTAATTTTATCAAAGCCAAGTGACCCTAACCAGTTCTCCTCTCCATCCCCCAAGCGTGGCTGTCACCAGGTCCAAAGACGTCCCACCCTTCGGACCCCCCATCCCCAACGGCATCACTTTCCGCAAATCTGACGTCTTCCGAGATTTCTTGCTGGCCAAGGTGATCAACGCGGAGAATGCCGCTCACAAATCGGACAAATTTCACACTATGGCTACTCGAACCCGGCAGGAATACCTGAAGGATCTGGCTGAAAACTGCGTCACCAACACTCCTATTGATTCCGCTGGGAAGTTCAACCTCATCTCACTGGCTTCCAAGAAGAAGGAAAAGACGAAAGCCCGAGCCGGGGCCGAGCAGCACAGCGCAGGGGCCATTGCCTGGCGCGTTTCTGCTCAGGATTTTGCCCAGGGAGCAGAGATCGCTTGCGCCTTGGGTATTTCCAATGAATTCGTGGTCTTGCTTGACCTCAGCGCGAAGGAGGTGGTCTTCAACTGTTTCTGCGGGGACGTCATCGGCTGGACCGCCGACACTTCCACTGTCAAGATCTTCTATGGCCGAGGAGATCACATCTTCATCCGGGCGGCCGAGGGTGGCCCCGAGGACATCAAGGAGATTGTGCAGAGGCTGAAGGTGAGCCTCCAAAACCAAAAAACCTTGACCTCCATCCCCTCCCCAAGTTTGTGTAGGTCCTACTTAAATGCAGATGACGTGCTCGGGATGTTTTCCAATGCAGAGGAGATCTGGGCTTTGGGAAAGCGGGGGAAAAATCCCCTCTGAGGTGGTGGGGAAGGGCTGTGGTGGGGCCGAGGCTGGCTGCAGGATGAGAGGTGGGGAGGATTTGAGGGTTGTCGAGCAAACGGATTTTGGAGGAGCCATGTGGTGGGTGTGAGCCCCCTCTCTGCTGTCCGTCTGTCCTTTCCTATGACCCCAGGTGATGACAGACGGCTGCGAGACAGTGGACATGACCTTGAGGAGGAACGGGCTGGGCCAGTTGGGCTTCCACGTGAAGTATGATGGGACGGTGGCCGAGGTGGAGGATTACGGCTTTGCCTGGCAGGCTGGTTTGCGGCAGGGCAGCCGGTTGGTGGAGATTTGTAAGGTGGCGGTAGTAACCCTCACCCACGACCAAATGATCGACCTCTTGCGGACCTCTGTCACGGTTAAGGTCGTCATCATCCCACCCCACGAGGATGGAGCCCCTCGCAGGTAGGTGGTGGCTTTGAGGGGGGACACACACCAAGAAGCCACCATCGCCATCTGCCCCTGCAAGCCCAGCTTTTCTCCCAAAGCTTTTGTGAGCAAAGTCCCCCGAGCAGCCAGGGATTGGTGGGGCATGGAGCAGACCTCACCCACAGGGACCTTCCCGTCCCTGGCGTGGGCATGCAAAGCCTAATTAAAACCAATTAATGATGGACAAAGTTCTCCAGGCTTTGGAGAATATCCCCTTTCTGTCACTTAATACAGTGCCCCATCCCGCTCACAGGGTTCAGACCTTTCATCATGGAAAGCTGGCGGCAGACCCCTTGCCGGCAGGTTTTTGGGGGGTGGGGGTATTTTTGGGTTGGGGCATCCTGCTTTTCCCCTGTATGCGGCTAAGTCAGTCACGTCCACGCATCGGGCAGGAAGGTGAGACCACTGATACGATTAATTAATCATTAAATTGTAATTAAATAGCCTGGAAGGATGTTGCTTTGCCCGGGATGGGATGGTTCTGGCTAAAGTCCTGCCAGGCACCGGTTTCAGTGGCACTGGCCAGCTTCATGTGCCATAAACACAGAGTGGTGCCAGCTTTGGTGTTTATGGCATGAAGCCAGCAGTGCTTATGGCATGATTGCCACTGGTTTCACAGGGGCTGGGCTGAGTCCTTGGAGATAAGCAACGCGGAACCGAAGGGAGAGACTGAGAATCTGCCGTCTGGCTACCGCCCGCCGTACCGGAGCAACGCCGGCTGGCAATGGAGTGGGCCGGCCTCACACAACACGGCTCCGGCTAGTAAATGGGCTGAGCCACTGGCCCTCGGCCATGGGCAAGCGATCAGCCGGTCAGCCAAGCAGCCCACTGTGTCCTACCGGGAGCAGCAGCCCCTGCACAGCAAGAGGTGAGGTACTGGGATGGGGGCAAGGACAGCGGCCGAGCATGGCCCAGCTCCAGGTTTTGACAGAGAGCGGCTTCTCTGCACCCTCCCCAACTCAATTCCAGCTGTTGGCCGGCAGCTGCTGGTCTTGCCCACTCTGGAAGCGTGGGCAGGAGCAAGGACAATCCCTTATTTTCCGCTTCTTCCCACATGTATCTGTGGAGCCAGGCCAGTCAGCTTTCCCGAAACCCCCCATCCCACCTCCTCCTCGCCGGCAGGAACAGAGAGGGCGCAGCCGTACCGGCAGCCCTCAGGCAGCTTCTCCGCACCAGGCAGCGCCGGGACAGCCTACGCTCGCTATAAACCCTCTCCAGAGAGGTGGGTGACCGTTGCGGGGACCCTCTGGGGTCCCATGGGTGCAAATCAGGGAGGAACATCAGCATTTTGGGGTGGGAGCTCAACCCGTCCCCCCTTTCCCTTTGCAGGTATGTTGCCTCGCAGCGGCCACCATTGCCATTTGAGCCACACACCGGCCACGACGGCCCCTCCAGCGGTGACTCCTCATCCGGGGGGCTCAGTAGCCACGAGAGCACCATGGAACGGCACAAACCGGGTACGGTAAAGCGGGTAGAGCCAAGGGACGTCGCACTGTCACCCCTGCGATGGACCTTTGGGGTCAAGGGTGGCCTCTCTGGTGACGTTGCAGAGCCGTTGTGGCACGTGCCGGCACAGTCCAGGTTGCCGGGAAGCGGCGGGAGCAAACGATCCGGCAGGCAGGAACCGACAGGCAAGGATTCTCCCAACCGGCACTCCAAGGTGAGCCATCCCTCAGGCTCAGAAGCTCCAGAGTCCCTCACAGAGACTTTGGAAGCAATGGGGTGATCTGTGGGAGCCCCCCCCCCCACTTTGCCCCTTTTGGGGAAAGCCCGGACGTGAGGGTGAATGGGCAAGGGGGGGTTGCTGTGGCTGTCCCAGCAGGGTGACACGCAGTACTCGAGCCACTCCAGCAGCAACACGCTCTCCAGCAATGCCTCCAGCAACCACAGCGACGACCGTTGGTTCGACGTTCCTGATCCCATCGAAACCGAACCGGATCCCCTCTCCAAAGGCGGTTCCAGCGACAGCGGCATCGATACCGCACTCTACGCCTGCAGCCCTGCCGGCAGTGGCAGTGGAGGGGCTGGTCCCAAACCCCCCCGCCCAGCATCGCAGAGGGACAAGGTTCCCAAAACCCCTTTGGCATCCTATGCCGGTTTGCAGGATGATGGTGTCCATCCCGGTGACAAGAAGAGGGAACCATCCCCAACTGTCAGTACCGGCAGCCAGGGTAAAAGCTATCGGCATAAAGCAGGGACCCCCGGAGCCTCGGGGACCCCTGGCAGCAGCCCCGATCCTTTCAAGCAGCCCAGGTAAGAGCCCCCCCCCGGCATGGGGAAGGTACTGCATCCCCCCCCAGCCTTTGGTGGGGGGAGGGCAGTGCGGGGCATGATGCCTGCACCCCTTTTCCCCATGGTAAGCCTCGCTTGTCTTCCCCAGCAGCTCAAACCCACGGCTGGGCTACCCTGGCTACAAAACCCCCTTGGCCGAAACCCCCCGGCCCCCCCACGCCTCCCAGCTTTCTGCTTCGGTTCCCAAATCCTTCTTCTCCAAGCAGACAGTCAGGAACAAACATGCCACAGGCTGGAAACGTGCCAGTGACGCACCGGATCCCAAAAAGTAAGTGCCAGGGAGGGGGGATGGTGAAGGCTGCGGGTCTTGGACCCTCTAAAAAGGATCTTATTGGGGGGGATGATGAGGGTGGGGTCCCGGCACTGTCTCAACCCCCTCCGTGTGACAGGCAGGTGGACGCCAACACCAAGAACGTTTTTGGGCAGCCGCGACTGCGAGCGTCGCTGCGGGATCTACGTTCCCCCCGTAAGAGCTACAAATCCACCATCGAGGATGACCTCAAGAAACTCATCATCATGGACAGTGCCGCACCGGAACCGGAGAGAGCTGGGGTGAGCCGGGCTTTGTCCTGGGTTAAGGTGGGGGTGGGGCGGGGGTGTCCTTTTGCTGCAGGCGGGAGGTCACCCCACTTTCTTTTGGCCCCTGCTTAGTCCCCACAGAAAGGGCTCCAGCGGACACTGTCGGATGAGAGCCTGTGCGGCGGGCGGCGGGACGTCGGTTACGCCGCCGGCGCGACAGCAGCAGCATCCTTAGACACCGATGTCCTCTTCACCAGCGCCTATCCCTCCAGCACCTTGCCTAGCCGCCGGCAACACCCCCCCACTGTCAACGGCAGCCTCCCTGAGAAGAAATGTGAGCGAAAAGGGACACGGGATACGGATTTTTTTGGGGGGGGGTGGGGGTGTCGCTTGTCCTGATGGCACCTCTTGTCACTGCAGCTGCCATCTCCGCCTCTGAGCTGTCCCTGGCCGAAACACGGGACAAGCCCCCCCTTCGCCGGATCGATCCCGGGATGATGCCTTTGCCGGATACGGCAACCGGGCTGGAGTGGTCCAGCCTGGTGAATGCCGCCAAAGCCTATGAAGGTAGGGCTCTGCCCGCCCCCCCAAAAGCCTGTGTGTGTGTCCCCCACACACAATGCGTGCCCCCCATTTTGGGGTGCAGGGCTCCCTCCATCCCCATCTGCGGTGGGGGGGCGGGAAGATGGATGCTGAGGCGGCAACTGCCTTCGCAGTGCAGAGAGCCGTCTCCCTCTTCTCCCTCACCGACTCGGCGCTGAGCCCCGACCCCCCTGTGCCCCCTGAGAGGCAGCTGACGCCACGGGGGGGGCCCCCCCTCAGGTATGGGGCTGATGGGTGAGTGGCGGGGGATCCCGTGGGTTCCCTGTCCCTCCCCCTCAGGTATGGGGCTGGTGGGTGAGTGGCAGCGGTGGGGGGGACACACTACCCCAGGGTCTTGGGTGTCTCCTGTCTCCCCCCGCCTCAGTTACGGGGCAGGAGCGTGGGGGCCACCCTGGGGTCCTCAGTTGTGGGGTCGGGGGGGGGACGACACCTCGGGGTCCCCAGGTCCCCCCAAGGGCATCCGTCTGTCCCCTGCAGCCAGCCCCCGCCCCTGGACCTGCCAGGGAAGGTCTCCCAGTTAGAAGCCATGTTGAAACAGCTCCACAGTGACCTGCAGAAGGTAAGGGGCTCAGAGAGGTGGGGGGACTGTGTGTCCCTGTCCCCCCTATCAGAGCACGCTGAGTAGTGGGGTGTCATTGTGTGTGTGTCCCCACCACGGGACCCCCCCTTTCCACCCCCCCCAGGAGAAGCAGGACAAGGTGGTGCTGCAGGCGGAGGTGGCCAACCTGCGGCAGAACAACCGGCGGCTGCAGGAGGAATCGCACTCGGCTGCCCGGCAGCTCCGACGTTTTGCCCGGATCTTCTCCGGCGCAGTCGAGAAAGAAGAGCTGTGAGCGAGGGGGGGGCTCCCCCCCCCCGGGGACCCCCGGGGACACTGACAACCCCCGCCTCCCTGGGTCACTAATCTCCCTGGGGACACCAGCCCCCCTCCCACCCCCCTCCCAGGGCTGGCTGGAATGTCCCTATGGGACTGGGAGCAGCCTGAAAGGACTGAGGGCATCCGTATGGGACTGGGAGCATCCGTATGGGGTCAAGAGCATTGCTATAGGGCCATGAGCCACCATACTGGGCCAGGACCATCCCTGCAGGGACAGAAGCAGCCCTATGGGACTGGGAACTTCTATACGGGGCCACGAGCCTCCATATGGGACTGAGGGTATCCATATAGGGACAGGATCATCTATATGGGGCCAGGAGCCACCACAGGGGACTGAGAGCCTCCATCTGGGGCCATGAGCTTCTATAGGGGGCTGAGGGCATCTGTATGGGACCAAGAGCCTCCATATGGGACTGGGAGCCTCCATATGTGCCCAGTAGCCACCATATGGGGCTGGGAGGCACCCATATACAGCCAGGAGCAGCAGGCAGGGGCTGGAGCTGGGGTAGGGGGGTGTTTCACTGCAAAGGCAATAAGGGGGTGAGAGTCCCCCCCAGCCCATTTTTTTTGGGTGCAAACTCATGAATAATAATAATGAATAATATAATAATTAAATAATAATAATCTTCCAGGAGAGTTTGAGGCGTAACGAAGAACCTAATGAGCACTTTCTCAAAAAAAAAAAAAAAAAAACACAACAAAAACAAACAAAAAAAAACAAACAAAAAAAAAGAAAACCTAAATTATTTTCTAGAGGAAACAACGCCCCGAGTGGCTCAGGAAGGGTAAAACCCCCCGCGTGCCCCCCCCCAAGTCCTCCCCCTCTCCCCAAATCTTCTTTATAAAACACTATATTTGTATAAATTGCACCGTTTCTAACCTTATTTTTGCCTTTTTTCTATCCATTTTCTGCACTGGGGGGAGGTGGGAGGGGGTAAGCAGTTGCCGGGTGGGGGGGCAGAATGGGCATTGTGAACCCTGCTGGTCCCCCCCCGCCCCCCCCGCCCCTCAGCGGCCCCCAAGCGGGC